GGACGAGGCCAACAACATAGCCGTCCAGCAGCCAAGCCAAGAACTGACCGAGGATCTGTGTCCGATACGCGAGCTCACTGGGTGGGACGCGGCCTTCACATGACATGATGATTAGATGATGTCATCAAATAAACAAACACTGATTTCATCGTTTTTTTTAGCTCACCAGTTTTGCTGATCTTCAGCCAATCACAGTCGTTCACTTTCACCTTCCACATCACCTTGGCCAAAGAGGTCTTCTCAAATTTGCCGCTGTGCAGGAAATCTCTAACCCTGGCGAAGAAATGAAGTCTGTTCTGGTCAGAGCCCCAGAGCTGCTGAGGGATCACCGCTAAGAGGCATTCCCTGACAAACAGGTAGACCCGATGAGGAGCACAATGTTTGGGCAGAAGGGAGTTTAACTCTCCCTGATCCACGCTGCTCTGCTCAGCCACCGGGCAAATCCTCTGCAGGATCCTGCTGTAGAGACATTTTCTGTGTTGCTGTAGCAACCGATTGAACAAGGGAACCATGTGGAAAAAACGGCGTGGGAGTTTCTTTGGCTTTCTCTCTAAACCGTTTATATACATAAGACCCTCAAAGAAGATTATCCTTATCAAATCTTTCCCCTGCAGCCTTCCAGGTCCGTCTGACGATCTCTTCTTCTTGTTGAGAAGGAAGCCGGACATCCCTCTGCCCCTGTACAGGAATCCCAGTGTGTGGATGAAACACTGTGAAGGTGGCAAAGGAGGGAAAGTCCCAGATCTCCAACTGGGACTACCTTCGCTGGAAGGAATGGCTGCTGGTGTGGCAGAAGGCCATTTGAAAGCAGTCCCAGACATGGTCTGTCCCTCTTCCTGGTGTGTTACTCTTCTTCTTTTACTTTCACAAGATACCGTTTCTTCCCTCTTTCTTTTTCTTTTATTCACAGTTTGCTTCCTGATTTTGCTTAAATCAGCATCCTCAATTTCAGGCTTCCGCTTCAGCTGATGACATGTCTGATTCCTTCCAAATCGAGAGCTTCTGCGCTTCCCGATTCCAGGCTGAAGATAAAACCGACTGGAAGCAACGGTAGACACCCTGTCGTACACGGGGAGGCCACACAGCTGGAAAACGCACGACGGAGGCGCTGCAGCAAACAATGAGCAGCTCTCCAGCAGGTAGCGCGAGACGTCTGTGCCAAAGCGTAGAAAGACCTCCTTCCACATGTCGCTGCTGTGGATGTAGGCCGCGCTTTGTTTCAGACTTCCGTGAAATTTTAACTGGTCGGCATGACAATCCTCCGATGCCTGCTCCTGAAAATTATATCCAAGTGTCAAGACATTCCTCTTCTTTTTTCTTTTCATTTTGTTGATGATGAACGCCAGCAGTTCTGAGAAAGTGCACGTCTGCAGGAAGAAGGAGAAAAACAACTTTTAACTGAGTTTCAGGGAAACAAATCTTTCTGCTACCAGCTAAAACCCGTATATGTTCATGGTGATGTCCGATCCTGGTCCTTCAGGGACAATATCCCGCGTGTTTTTCATTTCCAACATACCCAATTGTTGAATTACATATTCAGAAAGCCCCAAAGTTCTGCAGGAAGGGCTCGGGAGACCAGGATCGGACTTCAATGAGAGTCAGTAATTATGACTGTGTAATAATGATTGTGTCAGGCTTGAACTGACCTGGCCGGAGCTCTGGATTTTCAGCGGGTCTTTATCAAAGCACACAAACGTTTCTCTGGTAAATGACTTGAAGCGGTCAGACTGCTCGACGGGCCGTTCTTGGTGTCCAGATTGGACGCTGGTAAAAAACTCCTCCAGCGTCTGAACGTGTTGAAACAGCACCCGTAACGTGTTCACCACAGCGGACATGTCCGTCACAGACATGCTGACCTCTTAAAGTCTCTGGCTTCACCGTTTTTAGTTTTAAACACGATAAAGTCTCGACATGTCTAACTCTTAGCTACCTCTCAGCTAACTTCTTGCACTGAGTTTATTTACATCGGTCTAGTTTGCCGCGTTGAGTTTAACCAATGAGAAGTATTGTTGTTGGCGTGGTGGTCCAATCAGATAGCCGTATACTGCACTTTGGAATTTACAGTCCACCAATAACGAGAGAGAGAGAGAGAGAGAGAGAGAGAGAGAGAGAGAGAGAGAGACTTTTTAAATCCTAAAAGTACCTAGCGAACACCTCAGAAACATCTCTGGTAACCCTTAACTACTTTCTGGATAACTGTCGTCGACATTTCCTGCAGGTTAGCTAAACACTCCACCTGCGCTCTAGACCGTTCTTCAGGACATTAGGAAAGGGAATGATGTAGTGATGTGTCAGTCGCTACAGAAACAGCTCTCAGAGAGTAACCAGAGTGAGTGACACACACCTTACCTGCGAGGTCCTGAGCCGATAAAAACGGCTAAATGTGCGCGTGCGGCGCCCTAAACACACGTGCAGCTTGCCCGATTGCTGTGAGACCGGGTTGGGGGTTGGGGGGGGGGGGGGGGGGGGGTGCGGGGGGGGGGGTGCAGCTGGTGCAGGTTGGGACAATTATTACATTAACTGATGGGCCTGTAAATAAATAGTTGATAAATAAGGTAGAAACAGATCGAAATAACGTCCTCACACTGATAAATGCCTTGAGACGACTCTTGTCGTGATTTGGCGCTATATAAATAAACTTGAATTGAATTGAAATAATAATTAACCTCTCTGAGGACACTGTGCTAGTGTACTCTCCTACAGCACCTTGACACGACTAAATAAATGTTATACAACATTTTGTGAACATCAATTTATTTGCATGTATTTGTTATAAATGCCACTGTATAATTCTTGCTGTCAGTATTAGCAAGATATTGGTATTTGGGTCTGTACTGGTTAGACTTAAATGAGTTAAACCAAGGTCTATAGCCCTTGGGTCATAAACTATGAGCTAAAAGCATATTGGTCGTTTTATACTGGGAATCGGGAGTTATTTTAGTGATCATCTTGTTTCTTATTTATTTTTGTCCTGATTGCGCCCTGAGCAATTTTATGACTGAATAAAAACAAATAAAATCAACATTAATTGAAAAATCGTCTTAAATAATCGAGATCTCAATTTCAGTCACAATAATCGTGATTATTATTTTTGCCATAATCGAGCAGCCCTAGTTTATATTATACTATACTATATTATATTAGATTATAATAGATTAGATTATTAGATTAGATTACATGTAAATACTTTGTCACAAAACAAAGTCCCTTTTATTTGTATTTAATAATTTATTTTGTTTTTAGGTCACTGGTAATGAAAACAGCAACAAAAACATGCTGCAGTGTTTTACATATTACAAGACACTGTAGCACTATACAGTCTGACATGTGAATTTAGACGTATTCTAAGAAAGATTTGGGCAGAATCAGGGATACATTCTATGATTGTTACAAACATTTTACTTGAAAGCGTCAACATTAACAAATATCCTGCAGCAACATGTAAATTGGGAGATAAAGAAAGAAAACACATGACACATATTATGTGGTTTTAATGAGGCCCTTTGTATAATCGCCTTTTGATTCAAGCAGACATTTTCTTTTATAAAAACATACATGACTATAAAAAAACACAAATCACGTGTAAAAGATTTGCAAATACAGAATGTTTTAATAAAATATCTAAATCTATGTGGATTTAGGACATACACATTCTATATTATGAAATTATTATTATATTACTGTGCATTTGTGCAGATGCAATGAGGAGTTACTTGAATTCACTCAGTCAATTTACTTGAGTGCTTTTAGAGCAGGGGTGTCAAAAATGCGGCCCGCGGGCCGGATCAGTCCCGCACACAGTTTAAATCCGGCCCACGAGATGATTGTGTAAACCTTATTTTCAGACTTAACAATGTAAAGTCTGAAAATAAGGTTTCATTTTTCAGTTAAACTACTGGTTAAAGCTAAAAGATGTCAGGTATCAGGAGTCAAAGACATGCATGAAACTGATATAGCCATGTGATCTGTGAATCAGTTATTTGAATTACTGAGTAATAGTCTGGGTTTTTTGTTTTGTGTTTCACATTTTCAAATACAGGTGTTTTATTATTAATAGTGATGTTGTGCTTAAACTATTTTGGATACTCTGTCCTCAGGTTCCAGCTTTGTTTTATGTTGATCGTATTAAAACAAAGAAAACAATCTGAAGAAGTTTTTAATTTATGCATGCTTTAATTTTGCTGGTCTGGCCCATTTGGGACTAGATTTTCCTAAATGTGGCCCCTGAGCAAAACTGAGTTTGACACCCCTGTTTTAGAGTCTTATAAATCTGTGAGCCTGAATCAGAACAAGAATTTAGATGAGTATTATTCCAGCATCATTTCTAATGTACAACTAATAAACAGTGGAGTTTTTCCCAAAGTCGCTACTCTTTTCTTAGTTATGCCCTTTTTTGTTTTCATAGCACTTGTAGTTAGTTTGTTTTAGTGAAACATTTTAAACCAGCTGTGAGCCAACTTCAAGTGTTGGTGACATTTCTTTGCAAGTATTGTTAATTATTTACTGGAAGCACTAACATCCTGCTAAACCATGACTTTTTTAGCAAAGAGCTTATGTTGCTGCACACAGGCACTCTCCTGTCTGAGCTCCTTCTCACTCGATTACAATACATCTCACTGTTAAGTTCTGCAGAAACCTTTTCCTTAAAAGTACAAGGAGTCATCTCTGCTCTTTGGAGACAGGCACTGAGTCACGACTCACACTCACAATAGAAGAAACAGTCTGTCTTTATTCATAACAAAAACATTTCTACAGTGTTGCTCTACGTTTACATTGGTAAAGTGCGTTCATCAGACAATTGGAATTCACCTTCTGTTTTAGCAAAACAAAACAATAACGTTCATGTTTTCTCCTCCTGATCGATTATGTTATGGCTCTTAGTTGCTGCCCTGTGAACAAAAAACAGTCAGGTTAGATCTACGTCTTTAAAGGTGTGGTTCACGTATTTAATCAATACATTTGCAGTGGTCTCTAGTAGAAATTAATGCCCTGAAAGTCATATTCTGGGTACAAAAAGCCCTGGTGCACCTGTTTCAGGATCTAAAAGATTGCCAGATCAGAGTAGAGCTTCAGATGTTAAGATTTGGAATTTTTATTTCCTGATATTTAGACATCTCACCTCTGATTGGCTAACAACAACGTGACTCTACCCCTGACTCTGTTTGCTTTGCAACACTGATGTTTTATCTCCACAAATATCACAAGCCTGGAGGACTTCTGCTGTATGGTGGAGTTGCTAATGCTAACAGTTAGCTGCTACTAATCGAGATGTTCTCTGCTGTTTCCTGGACGCTAAACCAACACCAGCCTTCCCCGTCACAAGTCAAGATGGGTTAGTCCATGAATGTTATGTGACACACTGTCAGGCTTTTCAAATCTTAAGAGTTTCACCATCTTTTTTCTATCAGAAGCTAACACAGAAGATAGGTGCAGAAGACTATTGTGATGTTCAGCCTGCATGCCGACATTTTCAATAATAATAAGTAAAAAATGGTTTGTCAGTGAACCACACCTTTAAAGCCACAACGGCAAATCTGCAAAACAAGCTCGCTTAAAACTTTTTTCATGCCTCTTAACAATCAATGTTCTTCTAACATAACATAAATTTATTGCGGAGATTAAAAAATGAAAACAATTTTAAAAAGTTATGAAGTGGTTCTCTGGCATTTGTCTAAAAACCTCAACCAATAACACGACTTGGACTGAAACCAACCATCCTGTTGTTGGTCTCACTGAACCACCACACTTCAGCACTCCCCTGGGTCGTCCACTCATAACACACTCACAAATTTAGCAACAGAACACCACTGGTGTGAGTGGTTCAAGAGAGGGAGAATTAGCCGGCTGCTACCACTTCCACTTTAGGACAAACTCCAAAAAGACGTTTGGACCTCGAAAATGGCGGTTTGGTCTCGTTTCCTCTGGCCATGCACGTCCGGGTATCAGGCGGGCATGGCTCAGGGAGTGGGTTTAAAAGCTAGCCTGTTTTGCAGATTTGCCATTGCAGCTTCAAATCTTTGGTGTAAAACTGTTAAAAGTGGAAGTTACCGGTGAAGAAGGAGTTGCTTTGTAAGGTTCTCCCTCATCATCTCCATTTCTTTTGTTTTTCTCCTCTGAATATTCAGCTCAGCCTTCAGCTCTCTGCTTTGCTCTTCCAGAGAAAACACAGCTTCCTGTAAGAGAGGCATCCCATAATAACCAGCAGATTGTTTGGAGCTCTGAATGCTTCATCTAATAACTCCTGTTTAGTTGTTTACCTTGTAGCGGCCCACATCCTCCCACCTCCGCACCGTGGCCAGTTTGATTTTCTCCTCACAACAAACCTTCTCTAGTTTGAGTTTCTGGATCTGCTCCCTGAGGGGTCCCAGCTGGCCTCTCAGCTCCTGACCCTGTTCTCTAGCTTTCACCAGTGCAGCAGCGGTGGTCTCCCTCCTCTTTAACAGCACCAGCAACATGGGCTCATACCTGGGTGACGAGATCTTTAGAAGTTATTGATTAAATGTGTGAAAACGTAAAATGATGGAGCTGCAGCACCTGTCCTCCAGTGACTTGAGTTCACTCTGCAGATACTGCTGGATGTCCCCACAGGAATTCCTCCTGCACTCCATCAGCTCCTCCTGGGTGTTGGAGGTCTGGCTGGAGGTTGTAGCGTGAAGCTTTGCCCGTGCATCTAAAAGCTGTTTTCCATGGGCTGACCGCAGCTGGAGGCTCTCTTCTGTCAGCTGGAGCACCAGGGAATTGAGTTTTTCCTGGAAAATAAATGGGAAAAAGTCACTGGTAGGGAGTTTGTTTTTGAAGATGTTACAGCGTTTTGAGCCGTCTCACCTCCTCTCTCTTCAGAAGCTCCACCTCACGGCGATGATGGTTCCCAGCTGCTTGACTGAAACCACCATCTCTAGCTACAGCAAACAGCCTCCTCTTCAGCCTCCTGAGCTCCTCTTGAACACCCTGTCTCTCCAGGTTTGCCTTCCAGAGCTTCCTCTCCTCCTCTGCCCGCTCTTCTCTGAGACTGTACACCTCCCTCTTCCTCTCCTCCCGTCTCACCTCCTCCTCTTTCTTGAAAACATTCATCAGCTCTGTAATTTTGCTGTCAATCCACTGTTCAGTGTCTTCTATATCCTGGCTTCTTCCCTTTTCGTCTTCTTGTTCTTTATGGCCTCTCAGCTGTAGAACCTCCACCAGAAGGTCCTTCCTTCTTCTCTGTAGCAGTTGGACCTCCTCTATGCAGTCCTCCATCTGAGACCCCAGAGCTCCTAATGTTTTGAGGTCAGCCCAGAGCTCAGGTATCTCTTCATCCACGTCTAACTCTGTTCCATCTCCGTTCATTCCTGTCCTCTCCTTGAACATGTCTCCTGGATCTGTGTGGGGTCTCTTCTGAGTTCCTTCATTCTCTTGAGCTTTACTTCCATCCACGCAGAGTTTTGACTGAACCTGAAGGCTCTCCAGCTCTGGCAGGCTCTCTTGCTTAACTGGCACCAGTGTGGTACCTTGATAGCGGTGTGGGCTCTTACTGATGTGTACGTACTCTTGGCCTAAATCTGCTGCCAGATCTTGAAGCTCAAAGTCCATGCCAGCTTCTTCCATGCAGCTTTCATGCATAGCCAACATCCCCAACAGCTGGCCCTCGTACTCCACCATGGTGGCGCTGAGTTTGGTACCAGCTGAGGAAAGAGGCATCTCTGTTTGCTGGTAAACCTGACACTTGTCCATAAGTTCACCAAAACCTTGGCCTGGGGCCATCTCTCTTTCTGCATCCTCCATGTTTGTGTCTATGTAGCTGGTGGACAGGTAGGCATGGGGAGCTGTGCAGGTTTCTTGATAACGTTTCATCCTAACCTCCTCTCCGACCTGACTGCTGCTCAGACGTGTTTCTCTGTAACCTGCTGAGTGACACGAGCCAAAGGGAACATCTGTAAGCTCCTCACAGCTTCTTAGCAAGTCATCCATCTCCTGCAGGTACGGATTCACCAACGATGATTGTTTTAACTGCCTTTCTGGGAGGCCTGATGGGGGTTCTTTCCTCTCTTTTTGTTCCACGTTAATCTCATCTGAATCCCCTTTGTCCTCTCTGATAAAGAGTGTCTGAAATCCAGTGGGTGAAACGTCCTCCTCCTTGTTTTCCATTGGCTTGGTTGAATTCTTGCAGCTTATCCAAGTGTAGAAATGCCTTTTAGACCAGGAAGATCCTTTTAGAGAAGCAGAAACATATTTTTCATAATAAAAAGAGGTCCTCTTTCACTTATACATTTTTTTATGTCATAAAAGGAAAGAGTAACTGCATCGCCGCCATAGTGGATGGGATCCTCACTCTCCAAACCCAATTGGAGTCAAAGCAGAGTGAACAACTTTACCCGTTTTTTGTGCACTATTGAAAACAGATCACGTGGGACTTTAGTGGGATTAATCAAGCCTATCTGTTGGGATTTTATTTTTTAATGTTTTATTTATTTTATTAGATTCAATTTATATTTTAACTATCGTGCCATACCATATGTGTGATTTTGTGAAAAAGCATAATAAAACGTGTTTTTTTTTTATTTGGGTAAGCACCTTTCTCAGTAGAAATAAATGCACTGGGGGTAAGGGGGTGAATGGACACCTATCCAATGCCACTACGGCAGCTCCAACAGACAGCGCCAGTCCAAAAGACGTCTATGTAGATGGTGTCTGTGGTTATTGAAACTAATTTCTTGTTTTTTTCTGTGACAAAATTGGTTTTTAGATTTTAATGTTACCTGTTCACTCTTTCATCACTTTTCTCAGTTATCCCAGTCAGATCAGTCAACTCTCACACCTGGTATTCATCCATGTAATAGTTGCTTCTCCCCCCTTTGTAAAAAAAAAAACGTTCAATTCAACTCTTGGATCAGATCCTGGTTCCTCCTCTGATGTTTCCAATTCCATGGTGTTATTTATTACACTTTTATAGATATCCATCCATCCATCCATCCATCCATCCATCCATCCATTCTTTCGTTCTTTTTTTAAACACAGAAACAGTTTTGTTTACCTGTTTGTAGCTACAGTTTCGCCGACGGCTGGCACTGTAGCTACAAACAGGTAAACAAAACTGTTTCTGTGTTTAAAAAAAGAACGAAAGAATGGATTTAGAAAGACACAGCAAGAACACACCTAAGATATCCATCCATCCATCCATCCATCCATCCATCCATCCATCCATTTTCATCCGCTTATCCGGAGTCGGGTCGCGGGGGCAGTAGTCTAAGGCGAGAGGCCCAGACTTCCCTCTCCCCAGCCACTTGGACCAGCTCCTCCGGGGAAATCCCAAGGCGTTCCCTGGCCAGGTGAGAGACACAGTCCCTCCACCGCGTCCTGGGTCTACCTTTAGGCATCCCCCCGGTTGGACGTGCCCAGAAAACCTCACCAGGGAGGCGTCCAGGAGGCATCCTGACCAGATGCCCGAGCCACCTCAACTTGATGATATATCATTGCATAATAAAATAAATCAGATCATTATATAGTTGTTATAGCCGACATCATAAATCAGTCTTTAAACTGTGATTTTAAGTAGAAGGTGTTGGGTTAATATTTACTCAATATGTGGACTCAGCCATGTGCAGTTGGAGCAGTTTATCAAGGCCATGCTGCTACTGACAGCTGTCCCTCCAGCCCAAATGCCCTGGCACTCAAACCTCGGGAATGTTTAGACACACCTCAGACTTGCCTAGTCATGCAATCACATAAGCACCCCGGCGCTAATACAAACTCATACATTCGGACTTAGCTAGAAGCAACAGCGAGTGGCATTGTACAAAGTACATGAAAGCAAGAGCTAATCATAACATGCCACTGTGTCTGTTGATGGATGGCTGTTTTATGTTGTCATCTAGAGGATAAAGGGAATGTAATGCAATCCTAATAGGTGAATACCAAGCCCAGCCAACCATCTCTCAGCAGTCAATCGATCTAACTGACCTGGTTGTGTCTCCTGTCAGAGGTTTGGGGGCCACGGCGGTGTTTGGCTCTTATTTTGGGAAACAGAAGCTGAGTATAAGCATCCCGGTGGGACCAACGTTAGCGTAGTTAAACAAAGTTCTGGGGAGGATCAGACCAGCTGTCTTCTGCAAGACAGACATGGGCACCAGGCAGCATTCCTTTGGACCTCAACACCCCGAGGAAACTCTGAGCTACATTTAATTCTCTAAACACAAACTTTCCTTTTTCACCAGGATCCAAAAGTTTAAAGGTCATTTCAGTCAAATAATTTGTTGTTCATTAAAAATAAATGATTTTAACGTGCAGCAATAGAAGGTACATAAATGAATTATAATTCAGATTTGATCCATATTATTGTTGTTATACTTACAAATTAGCATGTGTCCATAATCCCTCTGTTCACATGTTGAATCCTGCAGGTGAACTGAAGAACGTGTCGATAAAACTAAACGGGTGGACAGAGAATGAGCGGGAGAAGAGAGGAGGGTAAAGACAGCTGGCCCAGCCTCCTCCTCTTCCTCCTCACGGAGCTGCTATGACTACCTCAGGTCTGTTTGGGGTTATTAATAAACACTGATGGGGAGCTCGAGTGGCACCAGCAGATCTTTGGACTCAGAAACAAAAAAAATAAATAAAATAAACCCTAATCTTGGAATGATCTGCCTTGTTTTACTATTGCAGATTTCAAAACCATAATGTTCACATTGGTTCTTATTATTCTATAAAGTTTCACATTTATGAGGTTAATACGTCAAAAAGGATATTTTTTCCTACTAACCGAACATGCATTTCACTTGCTGCAGAGGTGGATTGTTTTGTTTAATGCACTTTTGAAAGATAATTTGTGTGAATTGTTTTTTATTAAAACCATCTACAATATTCTTTTATTTTAATTTTAATGTTGCCAAATACTTCTAATTTATTTTTGTCTATTTTGTTTGGAAAGAATGTAGTTACAGCACAGGCGTGAATATATAACACTAAAGCATGGTGCCGGTAGTGTGATGGTTTGTTGCATCATGGACTGAAACTTTAATTCTGTTCTCTAGCAGAAAATCCTGAAGGAGGACATCTGACCTTAAGCAGGCCATTAATAATGGAAAAAACCCTCCGTGAGTAAGAAAGAGTGAGACAAAAATTTTCCTCTGTGATGTGAGGAATTCATTATTCACTGTAATCAATTTTTGGCAAAGGAAATGATCATTTGTTGCCATTTTGGGGGTGTTTATGAATGTGGAAGGGGCCCAGCATCCTGGGACTAATAACATCAAGAGGTAATAAATAAAGTAATATTTATGTCAATTTAACCCTTTACAGGTGACCAGGGCACTGTAATCAATTTTTGGCAAGGGAAATGATCATTTGTTGCCATTTTTGGGGTGTTTATGATGATACAGTAGGCAGTATGAGTACAATAACATCAACAGATAATACATAAAACCGTTATTTGTTCAGTTTTAGCCTCCATGAAAAACTGAGCGATTCAATCACTTTTTGGCAAGTAAAATGCCATTTTAGTTGTCTACAATTAAATCATCAATAAAGAATTTCAAGATATTTTGAGGCGTTTCTTATAGGTAAACAGGAGGGTGTAGTCTCTATTTGGCAAGTGACAATCTTAATTTTATGTGCTGAAGTGCTTTTATCTTGTTACTTTTAAATAGAGCAAAGTAATGTATAGATAGTAACCTACACAGTGTCATTAAAGCCAAAGCTTGATCAGTTTAAATACTATTTTTCAAGTAAAAATGTGCCCCAAACTAGTTAACTGTGGCTCCATGTCAAGTGGACTAAAGAAAGGAAAGGGAAAAATCTAATCGCTTCATAAAACGTTTGACTTTACATTCAACACAGGGTGCGATTTTACATTGTTTATTTATTTTTTTGTGTCAAGGCTGTAACATAAAGATAGCCAGTTCTTACCACAAACCATCTTTCAATCGCAAATATTGCAAAAAGAATTAATATATCCTCATTGTGAACGTTTAACACAATAGCAACACTTAAAACAACTTCCGAACTGGAAAAACTAATATCCGCGATAAACATCTGTTGAAGTACCGGACGAGGTTATCTCTGCTTTCTCAATGTCCATATTGCTACATATGCCAAGTTTTAAGGCGAAATCCTGGGAAATTTCGTCTAGAAATGCAATTACCCTAACCATGCGCGATCCCGCGGTGGCTAATCATTTTTTGGCAGCCAGTCGATTTATGGCACAACACGGGAAAGTGAGTCTAGCATCTTTTCTGAATTGTTGCCTCCTGGGTGCTGCTACTTTAATTCTTCACGTGTCTCAGGACGTGGAGGGGGGACTGCTACAGTGTTTAAAGACTCTTTTAAATGTCAGCGATTCCGCCTACCTCGATGTTTTTCCAGTTTTGACTGTCATCTCTTTGAACTTGGTAGGCATGATCCATGTGCTGTGTATGGTAATCTATCATCCCCCGCGATACAACAAAGGTTTTTTAACTGAGTTTGCTGGACTTTTAGTTGAAGTGTTGCCTGCTTTTGATAAGCTGATCATTTTGGGAGATTTCAACATTCACGTGTGATGTCCTGATAAACCCATGGTGAATGAATTTTTGAGAATTGTGGACTCTTGTAATTTGGTGCAACATGTTTTTGGACCGACTCAGGAGCAGGGACATGTTCTTGATCTTGTTTTAACATCTGGGCTGTCTGTTTCTGACATTGAGATTTGTGACGCTGTTTTCTCAGATCATATGCCTTTACTTAGTCCTGACCTGTAGAGCTCTTAACAACCAGGCTCCAAGCTACCTATCTGAGCTTTTATCCCCACACACCACCTCACGGAACCTTAGATCCACATCTGAAAACCTCCTGGCTGTTCCTCGAACCAGACTGAAAACCAAAGGGGACAGGGCCTTTCAGACTATTGCAGCCAGACTTTGGAACAGTCTACCTTCAAATCTCCGTCTCTCTAACATTGTAGAGGTCTTTAAAAATCATCTAAAAACTCACCTTTTCATCCAGGCGTTCCCTCCCTAAATGTTTCAAAAAGATGGCTTTGTTCGGGTTCACACCTTCACTTTGTTTATACTCATGATTTTATTTTCTATTTTATCACTGCTATTGTTTTTCTGATGTTTTTATTGGTTAGATGTATTTGCCCTGATCTTTATCATGTTGGACAGCGCTTTGTGATTTATTTCTGTGAAAGGCGCTATATAAATAAACTTTTACTTACTTACTTACTTACTTACTTTTTAGCATAGCCCTCTCTGACAACAGTCGAAAATCACCTGCTCGTTTCAGGCATTAACTGCTCCCCATTTTTGTGGCAAATTTGATATGATTTCTAACAACCTAGAATCATTTTCTGACGGTATAAATGAACTTAGCTCACAGGTCCATGATTGCTGCAGCACCATTATGGACTCAGTGGCCCCATTGCAGCTCAGGAAATCCAGGGCTAAACGTGAGCCATGGATAAATGAGTCCACGCGCAATGCAAGAAGAAAATGTCGAATGGTTTAGAGGAAATGGAAAAAGGACAGGCTAATGATTTCTTTCCAGATGTTAAGAAATGCTCTTCATTGCTATCAGGCTGTGGTGATGGAGGAAAGGAGGAAATATTTCTCAGCTGTCATTCAGTCTGCCCGCAGTAAGCCACGTGTTCTTTTTAATGATTTAGATAGCGTCCTCAATGTCGACCAACCTGCAGAAATTGAGATCTCTCAGGGGCTGTGTGAATCGTTTTTGACATTTTTTATCGATAAAATAGTGAGCATTAGAGCTCAGATAACGGCATGTCCGCTCCAGGTTGCTACAAGATGCTGCCCTTCAACTTTTTGTCAATTTGATCCACTTACACTGGATTGCCTGTGGGAGATCGTGGAACCCTTAAAACCCTCAGGTTCTCCTACTGATGTGATTCCTCCCACCTCTTTAAGGAGGTTTTTTCCTCCGTGGGTCCCTGGGTTCTTACCATGGTTAATAGTAGCCTTTCATCTGGTGTGGTTCCAGAATCTTGGAAACATGCTGTTGTTCAGCCACTACTTAGGAAGCCCAGTCTTGACTCCTCTACTGTGTCTAATTATAGGCCTATTTCAAAACTTCCATTCCTTTCAAAGGTTCTGGAAAAAGTGACGTATTTCCAACTGACGGAGTTTTTGCATGCGAATGATATTTGTGAAAAATTCCAGTAAGGTTTTAAGAAGGCGCATAGCACAGAGACTACACTGCTCAGGGTCTTAAACGACATTCGTTTAGCTACTGACTATGGTGATTTTGTGATTCTGGTACAGTTGGATTTGTCTGCTGCCTTTGACACCGTGGATCACAGTCTCCTGATTTCACGGTTACAAGAGTCTGTGTGTTGGGATTAAAGGAGTTGCTTTGGACTGGTTTAAGTCCTATTTGGCTGAGAGGTCGTTTTGTGCATCATTAGGTGGCTTCACGTCATCTCGCTCGCCTCTCGTATGCGGGGTTCCTCAAGGATCGGTGCTGGGCCCGTTGTTCTCTCTTTATTTGCTACCTCTGGGTTCTATTTTTACAAAACATGGATGATCTTTTCATCTATATGCAGACGACACCCAGGTTTATATTCCCATTAAATGTGGCCTACCCAATTCTTTAGATCCTCTTCTAAACTGCCTAGATGAGGTTCAAACCTGGATGTCTGCACATTTTTTACATTTTAATAATGACAAGACTGAGGTCATGCTTTTTAGTCCTAGTGTGTCCAGTGGGCCATGTTCTGCTGACCTTGGTCCACTAGCCATATTTTTGAAACCTGTAGCGACCAGTCTGGGAGTCCGGCTTGACAGTGATTTGCTTCTGGAAAAGCAAATCAGTGCCGTCACCAAAGCCAGTTTTTATCAGTTAAGGAGGATCGCCAAGGTTAAGCGTCTGCTCTCAAGTCATAACTTTGAGACGGTGATTCATGCGTTTATTACATCACGCCTTGACTAATGCAACACACTGTACCTTGGTCTTCCTCAGTCTCACATCTCCCGTCTTCAAATGGTGCAAAATGCTGCAGCACGCCTATTGACGGGTTTGAGAAAGAGGGAGCACAGTATCCCAATTTTAGCTTCGCTGCGCTGGCTGCCTGTCGATTTTAGGGTCCAGTACAAGGTTCTTTTATTGGCTTTTAAAGCTGTACATGGCCTTGCTCCGCAGTATCTTTGTGAACTTTTAGTTACTCATGCCCCGTCTCGGTCACTGAGGTCAGCTGACCAGTTTCTCCTGGAGGTGCCGAGAACAAAGAGAAAGCTCAGGGGTGATAAAGCTTTCTCAGTAGCAGCTCCAAGGTTGTGGAATGCACTCCCAATTCAGATTAGGATGGTTTCATCTCTGTCAGGTTTTAAATCACCTTTAAAGACTCATCTGTTCTCAGTTGCTGTAGCGTGATGAAGGGCCTTTAATTTGTGACAAAGGTCACACTTTCCCAGCTGGGTCAAGCTGGGTCAGACTGTAACTTTTAGTTCCACAGATCAACCCAGGAGCCCTGATGTCTAAAGAATATCATCCTTTATCCGCTGCTGTTCCTTCCCAGAAGGACACTTCGAGTCACGATACTAATTAAG